GTTTTTAAGTTAGCAATGAAGCTTGGTGGCTGGACTACGCTAGTTTTTTCTTTGCTTGCCGCAAGGGGGCCGGCATGTTTAGGCCGGCGCCGTAAACAATTAAATTTACGGACAGTTAGCTTATACTTGTACAATCCACTAGCTATGTTAAAATTTCCCTTGCGGAAAAAACTGTTTTTCCTAAGGTAAACTACATAGCAGGAAAAAGAACGGATTTTACTTATCTTGCGAGTATCCAAGTAAGCAGACGTCCTCGAGCCACCACGCTTCATCGCCTCATCAATTTAATAATNCGTATTAAACTCCCGGCCATTCTCTGCTCTATCCCAAGACCCCACATACCTCACAGCGCTTACGCCTGGCCACTTTATACGAGGCTTCCCCCTCTTAGCACTCCCTGAAGTCGACCACAGGCATCTGTCCCTCCTTAATAGGTGGGAGAAAGTAAAGGTGTTTAGTCGAGTCGAGTTTAGTCGAAGGTGGAAAGAGGTATTACAGAAGAGATATAGATGGAAAAATACCCAGGCAGAACCGAAAGTCGGTGACAGCGTTCTTATTGTTGACAATACTTTAACTCCCATTCAATGGCGTTTAGGCCGTATCGAAAGGTCACATCCCGGCAAAGACGGACATATTCGAGTTGTCGATGTACGCACCCAATCTGGCACCCTTACTCGCCCCATAGTTAAAATATGCCCGTTGCCAATGGGTGATGCCCCTCTGACTTCTCCAAATGCGCAATAATTAAAGCCTTTAAGCACTTTCATGACAACAGACTCTCTTAGCTCATATGTATTTAAAAATCTGTATATGAATAAAATCTCCCGTTTCTTCAATTGTATTGTAGACTCCCCACTGATAGTCTAACTTCACCGGCTTACTTACAGATGGAGAACGGCAACACCAATCGCGTCCCGAAACCTGCGCCACGAAGCAACAACGGTGTCCCGACACTTCTACCGCGCAGTAGCAGCGGCACACCTATACCAAAACCGCGGGCCAGCAGCAGCGGCGGTCCCACCCCGGCACCCCGTACAGTACAAAAACCGCAGCAAGAGGCCATGGTTATCGATATTGTTCCTGACACTCAGCCCGACGACGAGGGAGCGGACTATCTGCGATGCCGTTTGTGTGCACGCCATCCACGCCACGTATTTCGCGCGATGCAGCCAGCGCAGCGTTACCTGATTGCTCGTGCACACCACTTCTGTACCAACTGTCTTGCGCTATCACATCACAGCAGTGAATGTCCATCCGCTGGCGTATGCAGGCTTTGCGCCCAACGCCATCACACCCTTCTTCACCGCAAGAACACTTCCCAAGCGCCGTTCCACCGCCACATTCAGCTCCAGCTCCAGCGCCACGGGTAACATCGACTCGACGTTCACCATCGGCTCGACGCTCAACCTCGGCGCCACCCAAATCCGCTTCCAACCGCTCGCGCCGACCGCCCCGCAATAGAGTCACCCGTAACGCATATCAGCAGCCTCAAAAATTCCGGCTTGAATTGAATTCCTTAAAATTATAATTCGGCACAACGCAAAAACGCAGTATTTATGAAATTGGATTGTTTAAACTGAAAACTTACATATTTATATTTATCTATTTTTACCTTGAATTATCCGACTTGTAAAACGTATTTAGTGAATACCCTAACTTGCATTGTAAAGTTTTTATAGTAGTTTGTATTGAATTCGAGTGGTTGGCAACGGGCGTTGATAATGCAGCGCGCGCAGCTGACAAATGTCAACAAAGTAAAAAATTACATATACTTAGAATTTTTCCAACCACTATTTCGTGCGGTCGCCCTTTTTGCTCAATTTTAAGTTTTCCTTTTACATACATATAGTTGAATTGAATAAAGAGAGTTGTAAATTTAATATTTCGACGTGCGGGTTTGATTTCGAGAAAAACCATTAGTCGGTCGTCAAACATTTATTCGGGCGCAGAAACAAAGCTCGCCCTTGGAACCAACTTGTATTGGCACACCGAAGCAGCCAAACGTTATCCTCCGTGCCACAGTCAGTCACCCGGGAGTCCAGCAGTCCCACCAGCGCCAACCCAACACCCCAACCACGACAATCCCCAAGAAGCCGCCAGAAGACCACCAACGTTGCCGTCAACACCCAACAACAAGGAGCCGTCGCCATCCTCGCCAGCCTTCAACCGCAATATCGCTCCGTCCATCCACGTCCGGATTTCAACAGCCAAAAGTAGAGCCGATCCCTTTACTAATTGTTATTAGTAATACATAAACTGGAAACTTTTACAAACCTAGTTTGTAAAACGTTTGTTGGTATATATCTTAATGAAAATGTACACCAAATTGCTTAGATTGATGAGGAAACCCATTTTAGCCATGCCGGATTAAATTGCTTTGTGTGCACAGGGGAATTCCAGCATAACTTAATTAATCACCAAACCTACTTGATCAAATTAAGAGTTAATGATTAAAAATTAATTTTTTAATCGCGGTTACGATTAACTGTTTAGTCGGATTAAAATTAATCATGATTAACTGTAATCAGATTGAATTTAATCGAATTAACTAACTAATTAAAACATCAATCGATTAATGCCAACATTGATTTCACATACATATCACTATACCAAGTTTCAGTTCTCTCCCACAAATACTTCCAGAGATATGTATGTAATATGAAAATTCCAATTTGTATGGGAGGGGCCTTGAGTTATCGGACTTACTTTCAGTCTAAGACCATCCTTCCGAAATCCGTAGTAAGTGTACTAAATTTCGTTCTGATCGGAAAACCGGTTAAGGAAGTAGCCTATTTTTCAATCCAGGTCATAAACCATCTTTGAGCAAAATTTCATTTTCAAACAGGTTGCAATTCTTAAAAAAGTAGCCTATTTTCCAGTCTAGGTCATAAGCTATCTGTGTGCAAACTTTCATGCAAATCAGTTCAGTCATTTACGCGTATTAATTTAATTAAACTTTCCTAATACGTGATAACTCTTAAAATAGTAGCCTATTTTCCAACATAGGTCATAAGCTATCTCTGTGCGAAATGTCATGCAAATCTGTTCAGTCGTTTTCGCGTATTAATTTAATTAAAACTTTTTTAACAGGTGGCCATTCTTCCAAAAAATTTGCCTATTTTCCACTGTAGGTCATAAACTATCTGCTTGCAAAATTTCATGCAAATCCGTTCAGACTTTTCCGCGTATTAATTAAATTAAACATTTCTAGCAGGTGGCAACTCTTAAAAAAAGTAGCCTATTTTCCACTGTAGGTCATAAGCTATCTGCTTGCAAAATTTCATGCAAATCCATTCAGTCGCGTATTAATTTATTGAAACTTTTTTAACAGGTCGCAACTCTTAAGAAAAGTAGCCTATTTTCCAGTCTAGGTCAAAAGCTATCTGTCTACAAATTTNATTTTAGCCATGCCGGATTAAATTGCTTTGTGTGCACAGGGGAATTCCAGCATAACTTAATTAATCACCAAACCTACTTGATCAAATTAAGAGTTAATGATTAAAAATTAATTTTTTAATCGCGGTTACGATTAACTGTTTAGTCGGATTAAAATTAATCATGATTAACTGTAATCAGATTGAATTTAATCGAATTAACTAACTAATTAAAACATCAATCGATTANCAGTCTAGGTCAAAAGCTATCTGTCTACAAATTTTCATGCAAATCCATTCAGTCTTTCCCGCATATTAAATAAATTAAACTTTTTTAACAGGTGGCAACTCTTCCAAAAAATT